GTGTCCACTAGAGGCATCACTGCTGTATTATAGAGATAATACATGTTATTCTCTTAGTGTCCACTAGAGGCATCACTGCTGTATTATAGAGATAATACATGTTATTCTCTTAGTGTCCACTAGAGGCATCACTACTGTATTATAGAGATAATACATGTTATTCTCCTGGTGTCCACTAGAGGCATCACTACTGTATTATAGAGATAATACATGTTATTCTCTTAGTGTCTAGGAGATGTTATTTTAATGTTCTTATGTAGTTATGTTATTTTAATGTTCTAATGTTATTTATTATATTACTTTGATGTTTGTTCAGTCTGTGGGCCGAGCAGCTGTCCAGAGTCGAACACCTGTCGTCTTCAGTCAGACGCTCAGACCTCAAGGTGAGTCTCTGACTTATCTTACTATATTTATCCTATTATATTTATCTCTTTTCGATCTGTGCTGCTTATTAATATGAAATGTTGTCCTCAGGTACACTTGTCAGAGGACCTACAACTATAATCGGTAAAAGTCCTCTGAACATGGCGGCTCAAGCCAATCAGAGGAAGCTGAGCGACCCTGGGGGCGGGACATTCAGGTGAAGTGTGATCTCATTGGCAGGAAGTCAGGTTTATTTGTTTGAAATAGAGCAAAGATCCAAAGTTAGTTACTGGAAATAAAATGCAATGAAAAGGCAAATAAAATCAGTAGAAATAGAATTAAATAAATACAAATGCTGAAAGATTTCTCATAATTATGAATTCATTATTATATAAACATGAACCAGATTCATTCAGGGTTTATTTACAAAAACAGTTTGTATTAGTTAATTTACTAAAACTACAGATGGGAATAATAATATTAATGATAATAAGAGCTGAATATGTCTGTGATAAAGTTTCCTCTGAAATAGGCCACAATTCTAACAGCTTTACAGTAACAGTATAAGTTTTACACATATATATATATATATATATATATATATATAAATAAATATACTCATCTTATGGGGCAGAAATAAATAGACTAAAGAGAATACAAATAAAAGCAGCCTCTTTCCATCTAGCCTCGGGTCTTTAAAGTCTATCTCCTGACCCGTCCTTTCTGTCCTCCTTCAGAGACGACGACGACATCAACGACGTGGCGTCCATGGCCGGGGTCAACCTCAACGAGGAGAACGCACGCATCCTAGCAACCAGCTCGGACTTCGTGGGTACAAAGATCCGTTCGTGTAAAGACGAAGCCTTCCTCCCCACCGGCCTGCTGCACCGCCGCATCCTGGACACAGGTGCTGTCCTCTGTCCCCAGTACTTTGTCCTCTGTCCCCAGTACTCTGTCTCCTGTCCTCTGTCCCCAGTACTCTGTCTCCTCTCACCTGTTCTCTGTCCCCTGTCTCCTCTCACCTGTCTCCGTCACCTAGTATCTCTAAATAATGACAGCAGAATCTTTCTTTCCCATCACATGAACTTGCATAAGAAATGCACATATTTTCTATGAAAGGAGGGAAACCTGCAGGGTCACCTGGTTTAACCTGAAGATGTCCATGTTGTCCCTCTTTTCGTCCTCAGCTAAGAAGCTGGGAGTGACCGAGGTTCCTCTGGAGGTGGTGAACCTGGTCTCCCATGCCACCCAGTCCAGACTGCGCTCTCTGCTGGAGACGGTCTCAGCCGTCGCTCAGCACCGAACAGACGGAGGGAAGGCAAGGACCCTCTGATCCACACTGATCCAGAGACCAACGTTAATGATCCTAAAGCTGTTTGTGTTCTTCCTCCTCCTCCATCAGGATGAAGAGCACCATGAACAGACGTCAGACGTTCGCTCTCAGCTTCGGTTCTTTGAGCAGCTGGAGCGAATGGAGAAACAGAGGAAGGACGAACAAGAGAGAGAGATCCTGCTGAAGGCTGCTAAGGTACACATATACACATGCATATATATATTTATATATGTGTATATATAAATATATATACACATATATAAATATTTCTATTAGTGCTGGGCAACGATTAAAATGTTTAATCGTGATTAATCTCATTGTTATGCGCAAAATTCAATAATGAATTCTAAAGTAGTGTATTGTGCACTTTTATTTTAAAGTGCTGCTATATGAACAACAGGTCAATAACATTTGGTTTAAACACTTTAAACACATCAGGTTGTTGTTAGCAGCAGTATTCCCTTTACACAGCAGCAGTTATAACACAGTTATAATGATTCTGATCATAGATATTCAGCCGGTGTTCATAACTTTATCTTCATGTGTGTAAGAGATCATGTTTTTATGTTTGTTAAATTCTCAGTAGTGATACTAAATGATGCTTATTATACATATTACAAACAAAACACTTTAAAAACTCTAAAAACATAATTTAAGTGAATCATTTCTTTTTTGCTTTCTTTGGTATTGTGGTCAGACACATGTGCAACGCTGATTACCGTAATATGTGTGGTATTTGTTATAAATGTACGTTGGTACATAGAGGGTGACAAGAAGCTGTACATGGAGGGACTTAGGACCCAGGGGAGTGTAGGTGAAGGAAACAGGAAGAGACTGAAGAGACGCCACACAAACAGCTGTTCACCGCTCACTGGCCAGTTGACCGGCCGGTTCTTTTCGGTGTTAATTAATCAATGCTTTAACGCGGGGGGAAAATACCGTGATATAACATGAAACCGCCAGAATCTTACAAAATACCGTGATATGCATTTTTGGTCATACCGCTCAGCACTACAAGAACCTGATGTATTTAAAGTGTTTACAAACCAAATGTTATTGACCTGTTGTTCATATAGCAGCACTTTAAAATAAAAGTGCACAATACACTACTTTAGAATTCATTATTAAGTGTATATATAAATGTTTCTCAGTGTGTTTTGCTCTAATGGTCTCATGTTGTTTGAGTCTCTCCTCTATGTGATCCGGCTTCAGGCCTCCTCAGAACTCCTTCAGCTCCAGGCCTGATCTTCAGATAGTACCCCCCCCCCCCCCCATGCTGACTCGTGTTTTCGGACTCTGTGGTGACTCTGGTTGAGAACTGGTGCATTTCACAGGCCAGTTTACACACTCTGTATCACCATCAGGTGAACGGGTTTTCCCAGTGACCAGAGATGAGAGTGGATCTGTGTTTGTGTCGCGTACGGAGTTGTTGAGACAGAATCAACGGTTGATCTCTGCTCATCATGTCTCAATGAATCCGTTCATACCTTTCACCTCAAATGTCTGAAAATAGTAAAAAGAGACAAAAGTTTACCAAAGAAATGTAGCTTAGTCCAGCTGGTTTTAAATGTGGTGTTGATGTGGTTCTGGTTCAGTATTTTGACCCTGTGTTGCTCCTCCCTCCGCCCCCAGGTGGCCGTGGGTTCGGGTGCTGGTTCCTCCCCAGGCTCCACCTCCTCCCGCCAGCAGCTCCGTCAGCGGATCACACGAGTCAACCTCAGGGACTTCATCTTCTGTCTGGAGCAGGACCGCTCCACCGCTCGCTCCATGACGCTCTACAAGGCCCTGCTGAAGTAAGGAGTCCCCCCGACGCTCTACAAGGCCCTGCTGAAGGAAGGAGACCCCCCCGACGCTCTACAAGGCCCTGCTGAAGGAAGGACTCCCCCCAGGAGGAGCACATGGGGCCCTTGTGCATCACTAACTGGACTACACATCAACCTCCACCGGTCCTCATGGTCACAAGTCAGTCCCTCCTCAGTCCCAGTTTGTCCTCAGATGGTTTTAATGCTGACCTCCAGTGCAGGTCAGACCAGAGGAACTCATCCGTGTGTCTTCACCAAATATTTGGTCCTGAATGAGCGTCTGAAGGCGAAGCGGACGTTTTATTTACAGAAAGATATGAAATAATATTAAATGTGACACAATAGAAACTAAAAGCCAGAAGAAGCAAACAGATGTTTAGAGAAGAACAAGTTGACTTTGATGTTTAGTTCCCTGATTTAAAGGAGCAGGTGGTCTCAGCAGACCTCAGTTAGGTCTGGTTTGAGGTTCAGGTCCTGGTTCAAACGCACGAGTCCTAGAACAACAGCTCATGATTCTGGTTCAAACAGAAATGTCTTCTGAACTAAACGGTTCATAACGGTTTCATTCTGGTGTGAGCGGACTTTAACTCTGTCAGAACCACATTCTCCTTCTTCGTTAGACCCAGCGCCTACGTTACCCACAATGCACTGGCAGATTGTCGAGGTCTGGTCAGCTCACTTCATCGTGTATTAAAGTTAATCTTGAATATAAAGCTTGATGCTTAAACACAGGTGGAGTTTATCTTTGATATGAATATGAGGTGAGCTGATCCCAGGTGTTTGACTCCAGCTCTGCACCTGAACAGGTGTCTTTAGGGTCGTGTGTGTGTGTGCGTGCGTGTGTTGTTCAAGTAACAGTTCAACATCTTGATAAATCCTCAGATTGATTCCACTCTCATGTCTGTACAACAGCTGGTTAGCTTAGCATAAAGACTGGACACAGCTAGCTAAAGATCACTAATTTTCTGTTTTTACTTCGAGACTCAGCTGATAAAATCTGCACCAAACCTCCTTAAAGAAACAGTGAATTGGAGTTCAGATTAATCAAAGGAGCTCTTAATGCTAAGCTAAGCAGCTGTAGCTTCATGTCCCTTTAATTTTAAATAACTCTTCACAGGGAGCTGGTTCTCCTTCAGACGGTGGAACTCACTCAGGCTACGATCATGAAGGCTAACAAACAAAACTTCAGACAAACATTCCTGCAGTTTTATCTTCCTCTTCATCATCCTCTTCCTCCCGTCTGACGTGATTTTTCTTTTAGCTCAACATGAAATATAAATCACAAATCTCGACCTTTTGTACTGTTGAACGTTTTCATTTGTCAGAGTTTTGCTTCAGTTTGAAAGTTTTTAAGACTTTTTGGAAGTGTACATTGAAGGTTTTTAACGCTTTGAATGTTCCCCTCGTATCGGGCATTTGGTTTGTAAAGTCTGTCGCTCTGCGGAGATCTTCTGGAGAAACTTTCATCTGTAAGAACGACACAATTTGTGCAACTATTTATATTTCCTACATTCTGTATTCAATCCTGACACATTTCAGGCAATTTTACAGTTGTTTGTACCTTTGCAAAAAAAATGAAATAAAGAAAACGATAAAGAACCCGGTCTGATTTTATCTTTTTATTAATTCATCTGTACAAATGAAAAATAGTGAAACGAGCCAACAGATACATTAAATATACATCTTCAAAAGGGCAGTCTTATAAAAAAATTAAATTATCTGTACACACTTAAAAAATGACCGTTCCATTCAGGTTATTACAAATGTGGCAGTTTATGACTCCTTATGTTGCATCATCATCATTCCCAGAGGTCTTCACGTCTGAGTTTAGTCCAGAGGCTCCTGTTTGATCCGGATCGGGGTGCTGGTGACGGACCGGTTGAGCCGGAGGTCGCGACACAAAACATACTCGCTGAACTGGGAGGAGTCAACCCCCCCACCGCAGGACGCCTTCATGATGAAGCCCCTCTGGAACAGACGCTCCAGGACCTGCAGACACACACCAGGTGTTAGAGTACCGGTGAGGTACGAGTGTAGTACAGGAGTAGTACGGGTGTTGTATGGGTGTTGTACAGGGGAAGCACTGACCTGCACAGAGTTGAACCTGCAGTACCCGTTGAGGGGGAAGCGGATCACGTGGGTCGGGTCCTGGTTCCAACCGGCGTTGACAGAGTCACACATGACGTCTCCGGTCTCGGGGAAGATCTCCTCGATCAGAACTTTCTCTCCGCTCAATGCGATCCTCTCGCCCAGATCGGGAGAGACTCGGACCACCAGACACTCGCAGGGTGGTGTCCGCTGGGCCTCCAGCTCCACCTGCCAGCGTTCCAACTCCCGAACCATCGGAGTCAGCTGGTAGAACCGGGCCTCCTCGTACAGCTGGGGGAAGTCCTATAGTATGTCATTAAAAAGTCAGCATAGTATGGGGTTACAGCGTTCCAAAACTGTAAATTAGTACTTGCCCAAAAGTGGCGACATTATGTTGTACTATTGATTATTGTATGATATTGTATGGATTTGTATTGGGCAGCAAACAGCTGTTCTATATAGATACATCTTTGATATGCTAAAGATAAGATAATGCCAATAAATTAGTAGGGCTTCAATTCCGATCATATTCCTCTTTTTTTTTTTACGACATTTTCCCAGTTAAATTACCTTGAAGTCTTCTGGCAGCAGCAGTTTGCAGGTCCGCAGGAAGCTGAGGATGTAGCGGAAGATGTCTCCGTCTCTGTCGATGAAGTAGTGCTGCTTCAGACTGTCCAACACGATGGGCTCAGTACCGTTAAACAGACGACTGATCCTGCAGAGAAACAGAAAAACAGGTTGTATTTTAAAAGGGCTGTGTTCGCAATAATGTTAATAAGCAGCATTGATCGGGCCCTCGCATATTGACGCACGTCGAGGGTACTGGCAGGACTCTGGGTGATGCGGCCGTGCATTTCTGTGACCGTCATACACTGCCTGCACGAGTTAAACGGTATTTCCTGTGTCGACCAATGGCGTAGTCAGGTTATTTTGCCAGGTCGTAAGCCTCGAATGTTTTGAGTGTACCTCCGAATACAATCACAACTGTCACCCTGTAAAAATCGACAAAACACCGAGTGTGTGTGTGTGAACGAGCTTCAGTGTTCGTAATATAACAGACTGTCAAAGTAAATGCAGGTCGGTTGTTTGTTTGTGCAGGTAGGTCTGACAATCGCTGCTGAGTGACTCAAAGCTGGAAGAGTCGAGGAGAAACAGGAGAATGTATAGTTCCATGTGGGAAAAAAATATAGATTTTTATAAAGAAATAAATTTAAGCCAAAAGGTGAGCCAATGTAGAATAATCTAACATATAAATTAGTCTGGGTGCAGTTTGATTTTATTAAACAAACTTCACGTTGCATGAAATTACTTTACATTACGGCCTGTTCCAAATCGAACAAAAACAATTCAATTTAATATGAATGAAAACTCCACGTACAAGCGCGATTTGGAAACCTTTTTTATTCAATTTCTGCTCTCCAAACATCTTAGTTTGCACATATTTAGATCAGAGAAGTCTTTTTCTCATGGTGTGCCCACAAACCCTTTCAATAAGTTCAGTGTTTAGGCCGCTGTAATTATAGAATCCTGCTTACGTCCGTGCTTATCAGTAGGTGGCGCTATGACTATGAGTTAATATTGGCATGCAGAAGTCCTAAAGCCATGACGGTCAACAAGCATGTCAAGTTTGGGACAGTTTTGACAAAGTACAGTCGAGTTACAGTCGAGTTATTTGATGGATGATGGCGAACCATGTAAAATGGTCGCCACACCAAGTCCATGTCGTTCAATGAAACCTAAAGCTTTTAATAACTTTTAATCGCTAAGGTCTTTAGATTGTTCTGACCAAATTCTAAGCTGATCTGATTAATTCCCTAGGAGGAGTTTGTTAAAGTAGAGCACCTGGGAATTGCAAAAATGACACTCGAAATTCATACAAAATTCAAAATGTCTGACTTCCGGTTGGGTTTAGAGCATGGCTCCAAGAGACTTTTATTTAAGTCCACATGTGATACATGTTCCTACCAAATTTCATACATCTAGGTCAAACATACTGCGATGGCTGCTTTGTCAAAATGTTGTAGGGGGCGCTATCGAGCCGACTTGCCACTCTGAAGTATTAAAATCATATCAGATAACTACATTCGGGATTTTAAATGTGTGTGACAAGTTTGGTTATGTTTTGAGCATTTTTAGCCCCTCAAAAACACCTTAATCTTTCATGTCGAAGAATGCATCGCCACGACAACGGCCTTTCACAAAACAACAAGATTTGAGTAACTTTTCATCACAGAGGTCTTCAGATTGTTCTGACCAAATTTGGAGTTGATTCAATTAATTCCCTAGGAGGAGTTCATTAGAGTACAGCGCCTGGAAATGACAAAAACGACACTGGAAATTCATACAAAATTCAAAATGGCTGACTTCCGGTTGGGTTTAGAGCATGGCTCCAAGAGACTTTTATTTAAGTCCAAATGTGATACATGTTCCTACCAAATTTCATACATCTAGGTCAAACATACTGCGATGGCTGCTTTGTCAAAATGTTGTAGGGGGCGCTATTGAGCCGACTTGCCACTCTGAAGCATTAAAACCATATTATATAACTACACTTTTGGCTTTAAATCTGTTTGCCAAGTTTGCTTATTTTTTAAGGATTTTTAGCCCCTCAAAAGTAGTTGTAGTAGTAGTAGTAATAGAGTAGTAGAGTAGTAGAAGTAGTAGTAGTAGTAGAAGTAGTAGTAGCAGTCATAGTAGTAATAGTGTAGTAGAGTAGTAGTAGTAGAGTAGTAGCAGAGTAGTAGTAGTAATGGAGTAGTAGTAGTAGTAGTAGTAGTAGTAGAGTAGTAGAGTAGTAGTAGAGTAGTAGTAGTAGTAGTAATATAGTAGTAGTAGTAGTAGTAGTAGAGTAGTAGTAGAGTAGTAGTAGTAATAGAGTAGTAGTAGCAGTAGTAGTAGTAGTAGTAATAGTGTAGTAGAGTAGCAGTAGTAGTAATAGAGTAGTAGTAGCAGTAGTAGTAGTAGTAGTAGTAGCAGTTGTAGTAGTAGTAATAGAGTAGTAGTAGTAGAGTAGTAGTAGTAGTAATAGAGTAGTAGTAGTAGTAGTAGATTAGTAGTAGTAGTAGTAGTAGAGTAGTAGTAGAGTAGTAGTAGTAGTAGTAATAGAGTAGTAGAGTAGTAGTAGAAGTAGTAGTAATAGAGTAGTAGTAGTAGTAATAGAGTAGTAGTAGTAGTAGTAATAGAGTAATAGTAGTAGTAGTAGTAATAGAGTAGTAGAGTAGTAGTAGTAGTAATAGAGTAGTAGTAGTAATAGAGTAGTAGTAGTAGTAGTAGTAGTAGTAGTAGTAGTAATAGAGTAGTAGTAGTAGTATTAGAGTAGTAGAGTAGTAGTAGTAGTAGTAGTAACAGAGTAGTAGAGTAGTAGTAGTAGTAGTAGTAGTAATAGAGTAGTAGTAGTAGTAGTAGTAATAGAGCAGTAGAGTAGTAGTCCATCCATTTTCCTCCGCTTATCCGGGGTCGGGTCGCGGTGGCAGCAGGCCAAGCAGGCTGACCCAGACTTCCCTCTCACCGGCAACATGTTCCAGCTCATTCTGGGGGATCCCGAGGCGTTCCCAGGCCAGCTGGGAGATGTAATCCCTCCCGCATGTTCTGGGTCTTCCCCGGGGTCTCTTCCCAGTTGGACGTGCCTGGAAGACCTCCAGTGGGAGGCGTCCAGGAGGCATCCTAATTAGATGCCCGAACCACCTCAGCTGACTCCTTTCGACGCGAAGGAGTAGCGGCTCGACTCCAAGCTCCCTCCTGATGACCGAGCTCCTTACCCTATCTCTGAGGCTGAGCCCGGCCACCCTACGGAGGAAGCTCATTTCGGCCGCTTGTAGCCACGACCTTCTCCTTTCGGTCACGACCCAGAGTTCGTGACCATAGGTGAGGGTAGGAACGTAGACCAAGTGGTAAATTGAGAGCTTTGCCTTCCGGCTCAGCTCCCTCTTCACCAAGACGGTCCGGTGCAGCGCCTGCTTTACTGCTGCAGCCGCACCGATCCGCCTGTTGATCTCCCGCTCCATCTTACCCTCACTCGTGAACAAGACCCCGAGATACTTGAACTCCTTCGCTTGAGGTAGGCACTCCGTCCCCACCTGGAGGGAGCAATCCACCTGTTTCCGGCAGAGAACCATGGCCTCAGATTTGGAGGTGCTAACTCTCATCCCCGCCGCTTCACACTCGGCTGCAAACCGCCCCAGTGAATGGAGGTCACGATCCGAGGAGGCTAACAGGACCACATCATCTGCAAACAGCAGAGGCGATGCCGAGACCCCCTAACCTGACGTTCTCCTCCCACAGGCTGCGCCTAGATATCCTGTCCTTGAAAGTCACGAACAGGACCAGTGACAAAGGGCAGCCCTGGCGGAGGCCAACACCCACCGGGAACGTGTCTGACTTATTGCCGAGAATGCGGACACAGCTCCTACTGCAGTCGTACAGAGACCGGATCGCCCGTTGTAATGGGTCCGGCACCCCATACTCCCGCAGCACCCCCCACAAGAACCCCCGAGGGACCCGGTCGAAAGCCTTCTCCAAGTCCACAAAGCACATGTAGACTGGTTGGGCAAACTCCCAGAACCCCTCCAGTAGTCTTGCGAGGGTAAAGAGCTGGTTCACTGTTCCACAGCCGGGACGGAATCCGCATTGCTCCTCTTGAATCTGAGGTTCGACAAACGGTCGGAGCCTCCTTTCCAGCACCCTGGCATAAGCCTTCCCCGGGAGGCTGAGTAGTGTGATACCCCGGTAATTCGAGCACACTCTCCGGTCCCCCTTTTTGAAGATGGGAACCACCACCCCGGTCTGCCAGTCCATGGGCACTGATCCCGACCCCCATGCGACATTGAAGAGGCATGTCAGCCAAGACAGCCCAACAGTGTCCAGCGCCTTCGGCATCTCAGGGCGGATCTCATCCACCCCCGGCGCCTTGCCACCAAGCAACTTTTTAACTACCTCAGCGGCCTCTGCCAGGGATATGGGTGAGCCTCCCCCTAGATTTTCAGGCGCTGCCTCCTCTACAGAGGACATGTTGGTCGGGTTTAGGAGTTCCTCAAAGTGCTCTTTCCACCACCCGATGATGTCCCCTGTCCGGGTCAGCAGTTCCCCCCCCCTACTGAGAACAGCCTGGGGTAAGCCCTGCTTTCCCTTCCTGAGCCGTCGGATGGTTTGCCAGAACCTCCTTGAGGCCAACCGAAAGTCCTTCTCCATGGCCTCTCCGAACTCCTCCCATGCCCGAGTTTTAGCATTCGCGACCACCGCAGCTGCAGCCCTTCTGGCCTGCCTGTACCTGTCAGCTGCTTCAGGAGACCCCTGGGCCAACCAGGCCTTGAAGGTCTCCTTCATCTTGACAGCTTCCCTCACCTCCGGTGTCCACCACCGGGTTCTCGGGTTGCCGCCACGACAGGCACCGATGACCTTCCGGCCACAGCTCCTAGCGGCCGCGTCCACAATAGAGGCTTTGAACATGGTCCATTCGGATTCCATGTCCCCAACCTCCCTCGAGATGTGTGAGAAGTTCTTCCAGAGGTGGGAGTTAAAGACCTTCTGGACAGAGTCCTCTGCCAGACGTTCCCAGTTCACCCTCACTACACGTTTGGGCTTGCCGGGTCTTTCCAACTGGTTCCCCCGCCATCAGTTGACAGCTCTACTCCACTCTTCACCCGAGTGTCCAAGACATACGGCCGCAAATCAAATGATACGATTGCAAAGTCGATCATTGATCTCCGGCCTAAGGTGTTCTGGTACCAGGTACACTTATGAGCCACCTTATGTTTGAACATGGTGTTCGTTATGGCCAAACCGTGGCAAGCACAGAAGTCCAATAACGAGACACCATTCGGGTTCAGATCGGGCAAGCCGTTCCTCCCAATCACCCCCCACCAAGTTTCTCCATCATTGCCCACGTGAGTGTTGAAGTCCCCCAGGAGAACTATGGAGTCAGTAGGCGGCGCCCTTTCCAGGACCCCTCCCACCGACTCCAAGAAGGCCGGATACTCTGAACTGCTGTTTGGTGCATAAGCACAAACAACAGTCAGAGTCTTGCTCCCCGCAACCCGCAACTCACAAACCCGGGGGCTCGTGAGTATCCCCACTCCCGCCCGGCGCCTCTCACCCTGGGCAACTCCAGAAAAGGACAAAGTCCAACCCCTGTCCAGGAGCTTGGTTCCAGAGCCAGCGCTGTGTGTGGAGGTGAGTCCAACTATATCTAGCTGGTATCGCTCCACCTCCTGCACCAGCTCTGGCTCTTTGCCCGCTAGCAAGGTGACGTTCCACGTCCCTAGAGCTAGTCTATGCTGCCGGCGATCGGCTCGCCCAGGCCTCCCGCCTGACCCGCCGCCCGGTCTGCATTGCACCCGACCCGGATGCTTGTTCCTGCGGGTGGTGGGTCCACAGGGTGGCTGCTCCATGCTGTTTATTCGGGCTGAGCCCGACCGGGCCCCATGGGCGAAGGCCCGGCCACCAGACGCTCGCTGACGAGCTCCCCTCCTGGGACTAGCTCCGGGAGGGTGCCCCGGTTTCCCTGGTCCGGGCGAGGTGGCTGAAGTCCGTGGGCTGCTTATCATTAGGGTCGTTTTGAACCGCTCTTAGTCTGGGCTCTCCCCTGAGACCTGTTTGCCTTGGGAGACCCTACCAGGGGCTAATGCCCCGGACAACATAGCTCCCAGGATCACTGAGCCACTCAAACTCCTCCACCACGATAAGGTGGCGATTCGCGGAGGAGCTGGAGTAGTAGTAGTAGTAGTAATAGAGTAGTAGAGTAGTAGTAGTAGTAATAGAGTAGTAGTAGTAGTAGTAGTAGTAATAGAGTAGTAGAGTAGTAGTAGTAGTAATAGAGTAGTAGTAGTAGTAGTAATAGAGTAGTGGTAGTAGTAGTAATACAGCAGTAGAGTAGTAGTAGTAGTAGTAGTAATAGAGTAGTAGTAGTAATAGAGTAGTAGTAGTAGTAATAGAGTAGTAGAGTAGTAGTAGTAGTAGTAGTAGTAATAGAGTAGTAGTAGTAGTAATAGAGTAGTAGTAGTAGTAGTAATAGAGTAGTAGTAGTAGTAGTAATAGAGTAGTAGTAGTAGTAGTAGTAGTAGTAATAGAGTAGTAGTAGAGTAGTAGTAGTAGTAGTAATAGAGTAGTAGTAGTATGGTAGTAACTGTGAACCCTGCAGGTGTTTACTCACTCACACCTGATCACATGACCCACATCAAAGGTTCTGTGGTCTCACCTGGACTCGGGGTATTTGGTGAGTGTCCCCAGGCTGCTGGTGTACATGTGCCCCCCCACGTCGATGTGCACGGGGGCGTTGGCCTTGGTCAGCTGGGCGGGGGAGGGGATGCCCTGGGTGGTCATGGGAGACACAGGTGAGCGGCTCAGAGACATCCTGGACATGCTCCGCCCCTCCTGTGACAGGTAACAACAGGTCAACACACACCTGAACTCAGCAGCTTTGTGCACAACTGTTTGACAAAGAAAAGAAAAATAAATCTCTCACTCTATGGAATGTTAATAAATTCTTAGAAATATGACGTTTTTCCCTCAAAGTGAAGACAAGATCTGGAAAAGATGAAAGTCATTCATAAACTTTCTGAGGAAGACAAATATTCTGAGTTCATAAAACGCTACAGCCTCAAGTTCTCAAACAACACAATAAAACACAATACAACACAATACAACACAACACAACAAAACAACACAACAATACAACAATACAACAATACAACACAACAAAATAACACAGCAACAATTCAACAATAACAATATGACACAACAATAACAAAACAATAACAATATGACACAATAATACAACAGTACAACACAACAACAATAAAACAGCATAATACAACATAACACTAACAACACAATATTTAGTAACTGTAAAACCAACATAGTTGTGTTGTTTCTATATGTACAACAGAGCATCGATCACAGAACCTGATGGAAGCTGTTAATATTAATCGATCATGTTCTGAAGTTATGAGCATAGAACATAAATATTATGTAAGCTGACTCGACAGTCTGTAGTTGTTATGTTTATGTTCTATGCTCATAACTTCAGAACATGATCGATTAATATTAACAGCTTCCATCAGGTTCTGTGATCGATGCTCTGTTGTACATATAGAAACAACACAACTATGTTGGTTTTACAGTTACTAAATATTGTGTTATTGTTATTGTGTTATGTTGTATTATGCTGTTTTATTGTTGTTGTGTTGTACGGTTGTATTATTGTGTCATATTGTTATTGTTTTGTTATTGTTGTGTCATATTGTTATTTTTGAATTGTTGCTGTGTTATTTTGTTGTGTTGTATTGTTGTGTTGTATTGTTGACCAAACTGATTATGACAATAATCAGTTTAGTACATTAAGTCTGAGAGACGAGTGATCGACCAATCACAGCTCTTTCAAACTACATGATACTTGTGTACTTTTACTACTGATAATACTTTAAGTGAGCTGATTACTGAAATAGGATTCTGAATGTACTTGTAATGCAGTATATTTACATTGTTGTAGTACTCTTACTGAAGTATCAGATTGAAAACAGTCCAGACTGATGAAACATGAGGGCGGGGGGCAACTCACTCTTGATCCCCCCCCTACACACACACACACACCTACATACACACACACACACACACACCTAAACACCTACATACACACACACACACACACACACACACACCCGGTGGTAAAGAGGAGCTCTGAACCATGACAGGTGAACAGGAGGCGGCCAGGCTTCCGGCTCGCTGCCCCGCGGCTGGCTCGCTGCCTCGGGCCAAACTGACAAACACTGCTGCCTCTCTGTCTGCGGCCGAGTGGAGGACAAGAACTGCACCAGACTCCGTGTTAAAGACACAGGAAATAACAGCCTGTGTTGATTACAGGCTGCACAAATAATCACAGAAATCATGAATGTTCTTCATGATTTTAAACTGGATCGTTGACACATAGAGACCTGCTTCAGTGAAACCCAGCCCAGGAACAAGGCCTTACGCCAGACTCCATTAACAAATCCAAACATTTAATGCATTCTTGCGGATCGTTAAACGTTAAGTATGGCCTCACCCTGAATTTAAAGGTTTTCTCTTCAGACTTCGTCCTTCTGATTAATTCGGCATATGAATTGTCCATCAAGTAACACGAGGTTTCGATTATTAGTACTTTTATCACAGTCAGTGGATCTCTTCCGCACCTTATCTGAAGATTTAGGTAAAGTTGGAAAGATATTCAAAGATTCGGACTTCCCGGTTCAATAAATCGTTAGCGAAACGTTGCTAAAATACAAACGATACCTCCCTGTAACCGTAGTGAGGTAGACAACAAGCTACAACCTTCATTTAATCAAAACGGGCCGTCATACAGACTCCTCCGAGCTGGACAATCTGCATTGGTCTCAATGAGCTGCCGGCTGCGAGACGAGTGCGCAGGGACCGTCTACAAAGTGCAATGCGGAAAATACATCCTACAACAATATTCAATAGCTTCACTGTCATGCAATGTAATGTAACCAAAATCACTTCACACATCAATGGGCTCCTCCTTGTTGTACTACAACTGTTATTTTGATAAAACATGTTTTGAATACATTTTAGTGAATTATTATTGGAAATAATATTCAATAACTTCCCTGTTATAAAGTGTAGTGTGACCAAAATCACGTTTGACAGATGCTGTCAAATTCTCTTTTGTGATTTGGTCAAACTAGTGCAATTGTGAACCTATGTTTTGTATTGTGTATTTGTCTTGAATAAAGAAATAGTACCACATACATCAAGATAAGAGCCATCATAAGTTGTTCACTCATTTTATCTTCAAGAAAGAATACACACATACAGTCAGGGCCAGAAGTATTTGGACTATGACACAATTTTTCTAATTGTTCTTATTTACACAACCCCAATGGGTTTGAAACTGATCAGTCAATATGTGGTTGAAGTTTATACTTTCAGCTTTAATTCAATGGATAAAACAAAAAAATCCTCTGAATCACCACCTTAACGTGGTGGAGGAGTTTGAGTGGCTCAGTGATCCTGGGAGCTATATTGTCTGGGGCAGTAGCCCCTGGTAGGGTCTCCCAAGGCAAACAGGTATCAGGGGAGAGCCCAGACTAAGAGCGGTTCAAAATAACCCTGATGATAAGCAGCCCACGGACTTCAGCCACCTCGCCCGGACCAGGGAAACCGGGGCACCCTCCCGGAGCCAGACACAGGAGGGGAGCTCGTCGGCGAGTGTCTGGTGGCCGGGCCTTCGCCCATGGGGCCCGGTCGGGCTCAGCCCGTAGAAACAACATGGAGCAGCCACCCTGTGGACCCACCACCCGCAGGGACAAGCATCGGGGTCGGGTGCAATGCAGATAGGGTGGCGGGTCAGGCCGGAGGCCTGGGCGAGCCGATCGCCGGCAGCATAGACTAGCTCTAGGGACGTGGAACGTCACCTCGCTAGCGGGGAAAGAGCCGGAGCTGGTGCAGGAGGTGGAGCGATACCAGCTAGATATAGTTGGACTCACCTCCACACACAGCGCTGGCTCTGGAACCAAGCTCCTGGAGAGGGATTGGACTTTGTCCTTTTCTGGAGTTGCCCAAGGTGAGAGGCGCCGGGCGGGAGTGGGGATACTCATGAGCCCCCGGCTGAGCGCCGCTGTGTTGGAGAACGAGAGGGTCGCCTCCATGCGCCTACGGGTTGCGGGGAGCAAGGCTCTGACTGTTGTTTGTGCTTATGCACCAAACAGCAGTTCGGAGTATCCGGCCTTCTTGGAGTCGGTGGGAGGGGTCCTGGAAAGGGCGCCGCCTGCCGACTCCATAGTTCTCCTGAGGGACTTCAACGCTCATGTGGGCAATGACGGAGAAACCTGGCGAGGGGTGATTGGGAGGAACGGCTTGCCCGATCTGAACCCGAGTGGTGTCTCGTTATTGGACTTCTGTGCTTGCCACGGTTTGGCCATAACGAACACCATGTTCGAACATAAGGTGGCTCATAAGTGTACCTGGTACCAGAACACCTTAGGCCGGAGATCAATGATCGACTTTGTAATCGTATCATCTGATCTGCGGCCGTATGTCTTGGACACTCGGGTGAAGAGAGGAGCAGAGCTGTCATCTGATCACCACCTGGTGGTGAGTTGGATCAGATGGCGGGTTAACCGGTTGGAAAGACCCGGCAAGCCCAAACGTGTAGTGAGGGTGAACTGGCAACGTCTGGCGGAGGACTCTGTCCGGGAGGTCTTTAACTCCCACCTCCGGAAGAACTTCTCATACATCCCAAGGGAGGTTGGGGACATGGAATCTGAATGGACCATGTTCAAAGCCTCTATTGTGGACGCGGCCGCTAGGAGCTGTGGTCGGAAGGCCATCGGTGCCTGTCGTGGCGGCAACCCGAGAACCCGGTGGTGGACACCGGAGGTGAGGGAAGCCGTCAAGATGAAGGAGACCTTCAGGGCCTGGTTGGCCCAGGGGTCTCCTGAAGCAGCTGACAAGTACAGGCAGGCCAGAAGGGCTGCAGCTGCAGTGGTCGCGGATGCTAAAACTCGGGCATGGGAGGAGTTCGGGGAGGCCATGGAGAAGGACTTTCGGTTGGCCTCAAGGAGGTTCTGGCAAACCATCCGACGGCTCAGGAAGGGAAAGCAGGTCCTACCCCAGGCTGTTCTCAGCAGGGGGGGAACTGTTGACCCGGATGGGGGACATCGTCGGGCGATGGAAAGAGCACTATGAGGAACTCCTAAACCTGACTAACATGTCCTCTGCAGAGGAGGCAGCGCCTGAAGACCTGGGAGGAGGCTCACCCATATCCCTGGCGGAAGCCGCTACGGTAGTTAAAAAGTTGCTTGGTGGCAAGGCGCCGGGGGTGGATGAGATCCGCCCTGAGATGCCGAAGGCGCTGGACACTGTTGGGCTGTCTTGGCTGACACGCCTCTTCAATGTCGCATGGGGGTCGGGATCAGTGCCCATGGACTGGCAGTCAGATGGTGGTTCCCATCTTCAAAAAGGGGGACCGGAGAGTGTGCTCGAATTACCGGGGTATCACACTACTCAGCCTCCCGGGGAAGGCTTATGCCAGGGTGCTGGAAAGGAGGCTCCGACCGTTTGTCGAACCTCGGATTCAAGAGGAGCAGTGTGGATTCCGTCCCGGCCATGGAACAGTGGACCAGCTCTTTACCCTCGCAAGACTACTGGAGGGGTTCTGGGAGTTTGCCCAACCAGTCAACATGTGCTTTGTGGACTTGGATAAGGCTTTCGACCGGGTCCCTCGGGGGTTCTTGTGGGGGGTGCTGCGGGAGTATGGGGTACCGGACCCGTTACAACGGGCGATCCGGTCTCTGTACGACTGCAGTAGGAGCTGTGTCCGCATCTTCGGCAATAAGTCAGACACGTTCCCGGTGGGTGTTGGCCTCCGGTGGGTGTGAATTTACTGGTCGGTCTACGTTCCTACCCTCACCTATGGTCACGAACTCTGGGTCGTGACCGAAAGGACAAGGTCGCGGCTACTAGCGGCCAAAATGAGTTTCCTCTGTAGGGTGGCTTGGCTCAGCCTTAGAGATAGGGTAAGGAGCTCGGTCATCAGGAGGGAGCTTGGAGTCGAGCCGCTACTCCTTCGCGTCGAAAGGAGTCAGCTGAGGTGGTTCGGCATCTAATTAGGATGCCTCCTGGACGCCTCCCACTGGAGGTTTTCCAGGCACGTCCAACTGGGAAGAGACCCCGGGGAAGACCCAGAACACGCTGGAGGGATTATATCTCCCAGCTGGCCTGGGAACGCCTTGGGATCCCCCAGAATGAGCTGGAACATGTTGCGGGGGAGAGGGAAGTCTGGGTCAGCCTGTTTGGCCTGCTGTCACCGTGACCCGACCCCGGATAAGCGGAGGAAGATGGATGGATGGAAAACAAAAAAATCACATTAACCGTTTAGGAATTACAGCCATTTCTACAGTCATCCCCATTTTCAGAGGCTCAAAAGTAATTGGACAAACTAACATAATTGTGAATATAATCGCTATTTTTAATACTTGGAGGAAAATCCTTGCAGTCAATGATTGCCTGAAGTCTGGCACCATAAACATCACCAAAAACGGTGAGTTTCCTGAGATGCTTTGACAGACCTTTTACTGCAGCCTCCTTCAGCTGCTGCCTGTTTGTGGGTCTTCCTAAGACATGCTCCCTTGGGTTGAGATCAGGTGACTGACTTGGCCATTGAAGAATATTCCATTCCTTTGCCATAAGAAGCTCTTGGGTTGTTTTCACAGTATGTTATAGGTCATAATCCATCTGCACTGTGAGGTGCCGTCCAATCAGTTTTGTAGCATTAGGCTGAATTTGAGCAGATAGTTTAGCCCTAAACACCTCAGAACTCATCCTGCTGCTTCTATCAGCTGTGACATCACCAATGAACACCAGTGACCCAGTTCCATTGGCAGCCATACATGCCCATCCAAAGCACTGCCTCCACCATGTTAGACAGATGATGTGGTTTGTTTGGATCATGAACCGTTCCTTTCCTTCTCCACACTTCTCACTTCCATCATTCTGGTACAAGTTATTCTTGGTTTCATCTGTCCAAAGAATCTTGTTCCCAAACTGGTCAGTCTTTGTCAGATGTTTTCTGTTAAAGTCTAATCGGGCCTTCCTGTTCTTCAGTGTTACCAGAGGTTTGCACCTTGTTGTAAACCCTCTGTATTTAGATTCATGAAGGCGTCTCTTGATTGTAGACTTTAACAATGGCACGCCTACCTCCTCCAGAGTATTTTTGACTTCAGTAGATGTTATGAAGTGTTTTTCTTCACCAAGGTGCGCCAATTCTTTTAACCTAATAATGACCTCCTTCACTTGCATTGACACCTTTTTGGTCCGCATGCTGAGAGTTCCAATGACCAGCTACCAACTGCAAATATAACACTTTGAATCCTGTTGTCGGCATCATTTGTCATGAAATATAAACAGAACAGGCCACACCTGGTCATGAAACCGTTTGTCAGACAATTGTCCAATTACCTTTGAGCCTCTGAACATGCGGATGACTGTGTAGAAGTGGCTGTAATTGCTAAACGGTTATTGTGATTTTTTTGTTTTATCCATTGAATTAAAGCTGAAAGTATAAACTTCAACCACATATTGACTGATCAGTTTCAAACCCATTGGGGTTGTGTAAATAAGAACAATTAGAAAAATTGTGTCATAGTCCAAATACTTCTGGCCCTGACTGTATGTGTGTATTCTTTCTTGAAGATAAAATGAGTGAACAACTTATGATGGCTCTTATCTTGATGTATGTGGTACTATGTCTTTATTCAAGACAAATACACAATACAAAACATAGGTTCACAATTGCACTAGTTTGACCAAATCACAAAAGAGAATTTGACAGCATCTGTCGAACGTGATTTTGGTCACACTACACTTTATAACAGGGAAGTTATTGAATATTATTTCCAATAATAATTCACTAAAATGTATTCAAAACATGTTTTATCAAAATAACAGTTGTAGTACAACAAGGAGGAGCCCATTGATGTGTGAAGTGATTTTGGTTACATTACATTGCATGACAGTGAAGCTATTGAATATTGTTGTAGGATGTATTTTCCGCATTGCACTTTGTAGACAGTCCCTGCGCACTGAGACCAATGCTGTTTGTCCAGCTCGGAGGAGCCCGGAGGACCCGTTCTGATTAAATGAAGGTTGTAGCTTGTTGTCTACCTCACTACGGTCACAGAGATTTATTGAACCGGGAAGTCCGAATCTTTGAATATCTTTCCAACTTTACCGAACCTATTTGAAGGGAGAAGATAGCCGTGAAAACAGGTGAGCCGGTAACAAAAGTTCGAATTTAGATGAAAACCTTCGTACCTTGGAACACTTGATGTATGCCGAATAAACAGCGTTTCACACCATTACAGAAAATACCAACCGTGTTTGCATCTTTGTTACTAACGTGTACCAAAACCAACAAGGACTTAAAACGGTCATATTTTAAACCGAGACTGGTGAGACGGCGCTCATCGCCTCCACGAGACCCCGGGGAGCGTAATCGGGATCTCGGGGAAAACTTTGCGCGTAAATGTCCCGTTAAAAGGTGTAAAGCTGCGTTCTTACCTGAGAGGACACCGACACAGAAGACATGGAGACCGGCGTCCGTCTGCTACGTCCAGGGGATTCAAATGAGAGGAGACCGGTTGGTCTTCAGTTCACGTCCTAGGGTGTGTGTGTGTGTGTGTGTGCGTGCTAGGGTGTGTGTGTGTGGGTGTGTGTGTGTGTGTGTGTGTGTGTGTGTGTGTGTGTGTGTGCGTGCAGTAGCAGCTTAACGAGCCCGTCCTGTCTCTTCTGAAAGAATAGAGGAGGCTGAGGGAGAAGTCTCGCCCGGGGCCCCTCAGACCCCCTCAGGGTCCGGGTCCGGGATCAGGTTACAATAACGCAGCAGTTTGTTTGAGAGAAAATAGATCCTCCTGCTGCTTTGAGAGATAATCAATGAGAAGAATTTATGATCCATCAATGATGAGAAGCTTTCAACAGAAATCCATCTGGTCCTTCCTCTTCCTCTTCCTCTTCCTCCTGCACATCCACGTCTTCCTCCTCATATACTTTAGTAACATGAAACATCCCTCTGGCTCTGGAGCCAAATGATGTCTATCGTCATGCATTATGCCCCCCTACCCCACCACCACCACCACCCCGCAGCCAGCGGCCAAATGCACCATTTCAATTATTGCGCTGCTAGATGGAGGTGTGTGCCGGAGGGCTGCGCACACAGATCTGTTTTATCCTCCTCGTCTCTCAGCTGAATCCGAAATATGTCCACAGCTGCTGCTGAAATCAGGAAGAGACTGAAAGTGTCTCAGAGACTCAGAGACACATAGACCCAAATATTAAGAGACACATAGAGACATGGGGACGACCGTGGCTCACTGGTTTAAGAGGGTTGTCTGGTAACCGCAGGGTCAAAGGTTCCTCGACTGAGACCTCGAAGTGTCCCTGAGCAAGACACTGAACCCCCGGCTCCCCGGGTGCCTGTCATTGGCTGGCAGCCACTGCTCCCTATATCCAGGAATGGGTCAAATGCAGAAGGCAAATTTCGTGTAAATGTATATGACAATAAAAATGGTTTCTTCATAGAGACTCAGAGACCCAAATACTAAGACACACAGAGATTTTGATAAATTGCTGAGTGTGACTGCAGGAGGAGCATCTATGCTTCTATGTGTATTGTCTGATGGAAGATGAAACATTTCATTTTCACTATTATAACTGAAGATTTATCATCTTTGAATCTTTATATTTAATGATTCTTTGTGTTCAAATGTTAATCTTCACTGTGAATGCTGTGATTTCTGATAGAAGTAAATTAATTAATAATCATCTGACAGGACATCATGAAGAGGGAGAAACACACGCGCGCACACACACACACACACACACACACACACACACACACACACACACCTTCACTGAGCCAACAGAACGAGTTGGTTCTCTAAAGAACCCTGAAGTTATTTCAATTAGATGAAGAACAAGAAACCATGTTAGAATTGAAACATTTAAATATCTCCTAAACTCGCCTGAGGCTCTGCTCCTCATCTGTGAGGGAGGAAGAGGAGGAAGAGGAGCAGGAAGAGGAGGAGGAGCAGGAGAAGGAAGAGGAAGAGGAGGAGGAGAAGGAAGAGGAGGAGGAGCAGGAAGAGGAGAAGGAGGAGGAGCAGGAGGAAGAAGAGGAGAAGGAAGAGGAAGAAAATGAGGAGGAAGAAGAGGAGGAAGAGGAGAAGGAAGAGGAGGAAGAGGAGGAGAAGGAAGAGGAGGAAGAGGAGGAGGAGAAGGAGGAAGAAGTGGAGGAGGAAGAGGAGGAGGGAGTGCATCGGGCTCTGAGACCTCCTTCAGTGACTCCATGTTTGAGGTTTGGAGGCAGAAGCTGCTCTGATGGACACAAACATCTCCATATATATATATATATATATATATATATATATAACCACAGGACATACGTACATTTCCCCGCTGCGGGACAAATAAAGGATTATCTTATTGGACATCGCTGTCTTTCACGTGCAGTACCTGCTTCTGCCACGAGATGTCAGTAAAGACTTATGAGTGTTTGTCTCCTTTGTTTTTTAAATGTTCCTTCATCATCATCATCACACTTTACTTTATTCTGACTCACATACAAATACTCAGAGCACCAAATGTGGAGTAATCCGCCGCTGAAAGTAGTCCCCACCAACGTCACTGTTTTAAATATAAAAGCACATTATCTTTTATAAGAGGAGAGATTATTTAGGTTTAAACGATGTGTATCGTATATCTATATCTCTCTGTATATATATATATACACATCTGATAAACATCATATTGTGTCAGAATAACAAGCATCAGGTGTCTCACGTATTTATTGCTATTCATATCAACGTAACGCAGCAGGTGAACCATGGCAGTGATAAGGCTTAAAGTGGATCTACGTCCTCATTGTTCTACTTTAACATGTCGACTCCTTTAAAAAGAGAAGAAGAAGAGACTCACCTGTCCTCCAGGTAAAGCCTCAGAGAACAGAACGTAAAAAAAACTTCACAGAAGTCATTCAAGTTGTTCAGAGATCAATAAATGTTCATTATTTACAGATTATCATTATGATCATTATCATCATCATCATGTCACTCAGCTGAATAAATAAAGGCAAAATATGTTAAATCACTCTTTAAATAATTTAAGAATTAATTAAATATTATTTAAATAAGAACAATAATCAAGACAGAGTTCATCATGGTTCAGTCTCATTGATGTGCAGCATGTTGCACTGTGGGTAAAAAAAAGTCCACAGCCAGGAGTTAAAGATCTAAAGCCTCATTCTGAGAAACAGGACGAAGGACAGTTCATCCCTCAGACCTGGTTCCTTAAGTAAATAGTGATCTGTGACCCACAATGCACCTCTCTACCAGGCCAAAGGTGTACCTGTGATCCTACTGACAAACAAACAGTTCTGTTCTGTAAAGTCACTTAGCATTAGAGCCCCTCCCCCCAGGTCCTGGACTCGGTGCCCCCTCCCCAGGTCCTGGCCTCAGTGCAGGTCTTTAAAGGGTTTGGGGTAGTTGAATATCAGATAATCCATGAAGTAGAAGTCGAAGGCCTTTTGTCTCTCGGTGGAGTTCAGCTGTGAGAAGTATCTCACGGTGATTCTGGAGGAAGTCCTCTCAGCTTGGGGGTTTCTGTCTTTGAAGTCGGGGAACGTGAGGTTCCTCTGGAGATCAATGATTCAGGCTCACAGTCCTTCTCCTCATCAAGAGGCACCTTAAAGAAGTCTGGGGCTGATTACAGTATTGATCTCTGGACCTTCTCATCACTGTCGTCCTCCTGCAGCTGAACTCATGTTTGTTAATTTTAACACCAGGACCGACAGGTCAGAACATCTGTTTGGTTTTTATACTGAAATAGGAGCCTCTAAAACTACTAAACTATATACTACAGAGTCAGGAACACAGCCTCTGATTGGTGGACTAGTCGGGAACACAGCCTCTGATTGGTGGACAGACTCAGCCCAGGGCATCAGGAATAATAAATGTTTTCAACACGTAAAAATAGATTCTTAATCTAAGCAAACAATCACAACGGTTAGCTTCTTGGCTCTCTCCCATGCAGCGTCTCAGAGATACACACACCTGAAGCCTACAACATAGTAGGTTACAGGTTATACATCAGGTGTATTCCAGCATTGTGAAGCTAATTGGTCCCTTTGGACCCCGGGTCTAAAGAAGTAGAAAGAAGAGGAGGAGGAGGCAGGTGTCTGTAGGTTTATCTGTGACATGTGAACTCCACTGATCCTAGTTCAGCCGCTGCCTGTTAGCAGCCAGCTGACCTCAGAGCACTGACCTGGGGTCTGCTGCAGGACCACCTGGGTCAGATCCTGGAGGCGGACCAGCAGCAGCAGAGATCCGGCTCCCAGCAGCAGGAGGAACCAGAGGGAGTAGGGCGGCTTCTTCATGACCGACACAGCACAGTCCTGCAGCCTAGAGTCCACCAGGCTGACCCCAGATCAGCCACCGCAGCACGGCCTGAAGACACACAGGGAGGGGAGGTTAGACCTGGTAGAGATCTGACCTCCGATGAGCTCCATCACATCATCTGTGTATTAATCACTACTGTCTCATGAACAGTCTCAGACTAACTGATGCACATATAGGACTGTGAGTGTGTGAGAGAGTGTGTGAGTGTGTGTGAGAGTGTGAGAGAGTGTGTGAGTGAGTGTGTGAGTGTGTGTGTATGACAAAGACCCTCTCCATTGCAGGCATTTGTGGACTGTTTGAGACAATAAGAGACTCACACACTGAGTTGAATGTTTATTGTACAGTTCTGATATCTGGTCTCAGGCGTAATTATTGAAGGTCGGGCCTGTAGACAAACATATTAGTGGTTTAGTTATCTTTAACTAAAATGATTGAATATATTAATAGTGTTGTCAAATAACCTGCATGTTCAAAGCACTTACCTCTGCTGTGTCTCCTCTCCAGGGTGTTCGTCCTAAAAGAGTCTCCAGGGTACAAGAGCACCATTTTATAGTTCCGGGAAGGTACCATGTGGTAATTACTAGAGGGGTGGTAGGAAAATTGAATCCTCTATTCGGGCCGGATATGATCTCTATGGTGATGTCTTACCATACCGTACCGCCGAAGGTTTTGGTCTATGAATATTTTTCAAGGAGAGACTCCACGTGAGCTGTATGTTCGCCTTAAAGACTTGTTTTCGAAATGGGTCAAACCAGAGAAGTCAACAGTGAAAGAGATATCTGAGATGTTGATTCTTGAACAGTTCCTGAGGATGGTGCACCCGGACCTTGAGGTGTGGATCCGTGAGCATGACCCTCGTACGGCAGAAGAAGCAGCTCAGCTGGCTGAAGTATTCACAGCAGCCAGAAGAGGGGCCAGACACACCACCTTCGGCAAAGACACCAATTTTGCCCCGAGAAGCAAGTCCACTGGGGCATCTCCATTGTAGGCATTTGTGGACTGTTTGAGACAATAAGAGACTCACACACTGAGTTGACTGTTTAATATGATCTCTATGGTGATGTCTTACCACCATAGAGATCATATAGATAATTGACCTTAGAATGTTAGGCATCTATTTGAATGTATTTGTTGTAGTTTAGGGGATTGTGTTGTAGAATAAGGGGCAGAGTCACCTATCTTACAGTGATGTGGAGGTCCTCGTTAGTGGCAGACTATATAAGGCTGCCATAATTACATCTAGTGCTGTCGCTGCCAGGACCACATGCTGCCCGTGGTCCCTGAAAGAGTTATGCCATGTTTTTGTTTGTTTTTCTCGGTGAAATAAACACCTGGTTGGTTTACACGTACTCTCTGTGTCCGTCCTCCTGCTTCCGAAGTCCGGCCGCTGCGTGCCAGCCTCACTGACTGTGAGTGTGACTGTGAGTGTGACTGTGAGTGTGACTGTGAGTGTGACTGTGAGTGTTCCCGTGAGGCCGTGCAGGAACATCTGTTTCTCCCTCGCTATGGAGATAAGCTACACAGGTACACACACCTTGAGTAACTTTTCATCACTAAGGTCTTTAGATTGTTCTGACCAAATTCTAAGTTGATCTGATTATTTCCTAGGAGGAGTTTGTTAAAGTACAGTGCCTGGAAATGACTGAAACGACACTAGAAATTCATAGAAAATTCAAAATGGCTGACTTCCGGTTGGGTTTAGAGCATGGCCCCAAGAGACTTTCTTTTAAGTCCACATGTGATACATGTTCCTACCAAATTTTATACATTTATGTGAAACGTACTGCGAGGGCTGCTTCGCCAAAATGTTGTAGGGGGCGCTACGTCTGTGCTCGGGCCCTAATGCTATATATGATGGAGCAGCGTGTGCTCTGCTGAGATGAATGTAGTTTGTAGGTCACCACATTTTAAACACATTACAGGATCAGTCCGTCTCTTAATACGGACTTCCTGTCTGTGGCTCTCAGCTCAAAGCTCATTGGTTCCTACTGAAGACTTAAATCTATAAACTTGAATCTCTCTGTCTGAGTT